GAATAGTCAATCAAGAAAAGATGCTCAACATCACTATTAGGAAATGCAAATCAAAACTACAATGAGTTACCACCTCACATTTTTTACGGTGGCTACTATGGAAGAAACAGAAAACAAGTGTTGGCAAAAATGTTTCAAATTAGAACTGCTGTGCACTATTGGTGGGAATGTAAGACAGTATAGTCACTTTGGAAAGTGGTATGGTGGTTCCTCAAAAAATTAAAAATAGAATTACCATATGACTAGGGGCGCCTGGGTGGCTCAGTTGGTTAAGCGGCTGCCGTCAGCTCAGGTCATGATCCTGGGGTCTTGGGATCGAGACCCACATCTGGCTCCCTGCTCAGCAGAGAGCCTGCTTCTCCCTCTCCATCTGCCTGACACTCTGCCTACTTGTGCTCTCTCTCTCTCTCAAATAAATAAATAAAATCTTTTTAAAAAATTACCATATGACCCAACAATATATTCCACTTCTGAATATTTACCCAAAAGAATTGAAAGCAGGGTCTCCCAAGAGATATTTCTATACCAGTGTTCATGGCAGCATTATAGCTAAAATGTGCAACCAACAGTGTCCATAAATGGATGAAGGGACAAGCAAAATGTGGTAAATACAATGGAATATTATTCAGCTTTAAAAAGGAAAGAAATTCTGCAGTAAGCTACAACGTAGGTGAACCTTGAGGACATTATGCTAAGTGAAATAACACAATCACAAAAAGAAAACACCATATGATTCCATTTTTTTTTTTTTTAGTTACTTACAATAGTCCAAATGCTAAAGACAAAGTATAATGCTGGTTGTCAGGGCTGGGGTAGGGGGAGAATAGGGAGTTACTGTTTAACAGGTATAGAGTTTTTGTTTGGGATGATGAAAAAGTTCTAGAAATGGATAGTGAGTGGTCATGGCCTCACAACATTGTTATTGTACTTCATGACAATGCATTGTACACTTAAAAATGGCTAAAATGGTAAATTTACAAGATGAAAAGAGGGGGATGGATGGTGATGATGTTTGCATAACAGTGTGAATGTATTTAATACCACTAAACTATACACGTCAGAATAGTTAAGATGGTAAACGTTGTGTGTGTTTTACCCCAGTAAATTTTTTTAAATTATGGAACAACCGGAAGTGGGCTAATGAGAAATTGTGTCATACAGATTTATTGACACAGAAAGATGTCCCTGACATATTATTGACTAATGCTAGTAATAGGATGCTAGTAGATACATTATGACCCCATGAAAATGTATGAATACATGTCTACATGTGACAAATGCATAAATATCTAGAAAGATGCTTATTAAAGTAGTAAAATGGTCTTTTCAGGTGATTTCAATTTGTTATAATGCTCTTTAAGCTATTTTCAGTTTGGAGAATAGAAGGGGTTTAGGAATACTTAAATCAGTTGGAGGTAGGACTATAATGTCATTATAATTAAGTAACCATAAATGTAGTCAATTTTATTAGAATTCACTTGAAGAAAAACTGCTTAACAGAAAGGAATGATTAGTGTAAAGCGTAGAAAAATGAAATTTTAGGAGCCAGACACTGGGGATGGATGCTCAGTTAAAGCATTGTGGGGTGGGTGTATGAGGGGTGCACTTTGTATGTCTAGGGCTCTGTGACAGGTGTTGCCCTCTTGGGGATCATCATACTAACTTCTTGATCCAATTCCATGTTCACCAAGCAAATTTCTTCCTCTTGAAGTTGGTCCTTCTATAAGGAGAGAATGACCTGGCTTTCCAATCCACTCAACAGTTGTGTGTCTCAAAGTATATTAGTAAGTTGCTATTCTGGTTTATATATTGGGCTCTGTGCTTGGTTAATGAGAGTCAACACTAGAGAAATTGATTCTGCATAATCTATTGCTACATAAGAAGTCACCTCCAAAACTTAGTGACTTAAAGTAGCAATAACCATTGTATTTTATTTATTTATTTGAGAGGGTGGGGAAAGGCCCAAGCATGAGCAGGCGGAGGGGCAGAGGGGGAAGCAGACTCCCCGCTGAGCAAGGAGCCCGACTCGGGGCTTGATTCCAGGACCCTGGGATCACAGCCTGAGCTGAAGGCAGACGCTTAACTGACTGAGCCACCCAGGTGCCCCAGAAATAACTGTTTATTGTCTCTTACAGTTTTTATATGTCAGGAATTCGGAAGTGGCTCAGCTAGGCAGTTGTGGCTCAGGATCTCTCCTGAGGTTACAGTTTGATGCATTTCCAATTTGGCTTACTCGCATGACTAGCAAATTGGTCTGGACTGTTGACTAGGGACCTCAGTTCCTTTCTACCTGGATCTCCCATTGAGTGTCCTCACCATATGGCCGCTGGTTTTCCCCAGAGTGAGCAATCCAAGAGACCAAGACAAAAGGTGCAATGCCATTATGATCCAACATCAGAAGTCACATATCATTGGAGGACCTGGGTGGTGCCGTTGGTTAAGTGTCTGACTCTTGGTTTAGGCTCAGGTTGTGATATTGGGGTCTTGAGATCGAGCCCTGTGTTGGGCTCGGTACTCAGTGCAGAGTCTGCTTGGGATTCTCTCTTCTTCTCCCACTGCCCCTCCTCCTTGTGCTCTCTCTCTCTCAAATAAAATTTATTTATTAGAAAGAGAAGACTGTGAGCCAGCGGGGCAGGGTGGAGAGGGGAGAGGGAGAGAGAGAATCCTCAAGCAGACTCCCCGCTGAGTGCAGAGCCATTGTGGGGCTCCATCCCAGGACCCCGAGATCATGACCTGAGCCGAAACCAAGAGTGGGTCGCTCAACTGACCGAGCCACTCAGGCACCCCTAAATAAATAAATCTTTAAAAAAAAAAAGAAGTCACATACCATCATTTCTGCTGTATTCTATTGGTCACAGAGGGCAAGCCCTGATTCAGAATAAGAGGGCACTATACAAAGGCATGACTACTAGGAGGTGAGAATCATTGGGGGCCATCTGGAGACAGGCTACCACAGAGCCCATCAACCAAGTGGCCATCCCTGGCAATCCTGTCCCTCACTATATGGCTTCCATTAAAAATAAAACAGTTTAATATTGCTTTTACACCTGTCATCACATTTTGTCTTCATTATACCCCTGCCAGTAGGAGAAGCAAGAGAAGCAAGGGGGCATAACCCTCAAAGAACCCACCTGTGACTCAGGCACAGATTGATTAAAGTTAGACTATTTATGAGGAGGAAAATATCAAGACTGTGTGTGTCTTGCAACATTTATGTAAAAATCAACCTTTTGTGTTTACTTATCCTGAAATTGAACACTGAAAGGAAAAATATATATTTTTCCCCAATATTAAGAGAATGTAAACAAACAACTGAGCTGATTTTAATAAGATCAAAAAAGTGATAGCAGACTTAATGTTACATGTTGATAGGGTAATTCAAATTCACTCTCAATAAATTTATAAAGAGAAATATAATCTTCCCAGACAAACAAATAAGCATTATATTCTCATGGTTAAAGGTTATATATTATTAAGTCATTGTATTGAAAGTAGAATCTCAGGGGTGCCTGGGTGCTCAGTGGGTTAAGCATCTTGACTCTTGATTTTGGATCAGGTCAGGATCTCAGGGTTGTGAAATTGAGCCCCACCCCCATCGGCCACACTGTGAGTGGAGCCTGCTTAAAATTCTCTCTCTCCCTCTGCCCCTCCTTCTCCAAAAAAAAAAAAAGAAGAAGAAGAAGAAGAAAGTAGAATCTCAGAGTAAAGTTTTGTTCAAGTCAGCCAGTCTCAATTTTATAACAAGATACCAAATAAATATAAATAGGAACCATCTTCACTTCAACCTGGCTTACTCTTAGTATTTTCAAGATATCTGGCTTGTAAATATTCTACTTTTATCCTTTTCTGTAAAACAAGATATAATGGTTAGCCAAGTGTTTTATGAAGACTCGTCAGTAGCTCAAGGTTTCTCAGTCTATTGAGATTCCTGTTACCTAAAAACATGTTGGTTTTGATTTTAATTTTGTCTTCAATCAAGGTGAATTTAAAGATCCAGAAACAATGAGTCTGACCATCATATAACCACAATAATCCTTCAGAGTCAATGGTGGGATGTGGATATGGTAGAAAGGAGCCTGTGAAAGGGAAAGAAAGATGATCATGTCTCTCATCCAAAATGGTCATCCAAGATGCAAAGGCACTCTTCAAATCAAGAAAGAACCAGAGTCCATCTAATTAGGATAGCTGAGGGGAGAGGATTGTGAGAAAGGACACTAACATTTGTTATACGACCCCTACCAGACATTGGTTTCCAGATGAAGAAATCAAAGCTCAGGAAAGTCAAGTAACTTGTCTAAGGTGCACAACTAGTCATTTATGACTGAAACCAATGACTAACTCCGAATCCTTCCTACAATCCTATGCTCACTCCTGGGCCAAGAATGTAAGAATTTATGATTTGAGCAATCTGGATTTTTAGCCCTGGGTCAACCAAACTACCTCTGAAACCTAGAAAAGCCTGGAGCTCTATTTTTTTTACTTCCATACAGTGCAGTTCCAAACTAAATTGGGACAACTTTGTACTTGCATCTTACTAAAACTGGGACTAACACAGAGTGATTGAGTTGAGTAGGCCTGCCTTAGTAGGATAATCAGGCTGATTCCTTCTCTGGATGAGTCTGGGAATTCCTAGAATCTGGGGAGAATAAGGGAGAGTCCAGAGCCTTCTCTGTGTACTAGGAAAATCTGGGTTTGCTAAGAACTTGGCCAAAGACTTGGTGGTGTTAACTCCAAAGACAAATCCTCAGTTTCCTTGCAGTTACTGCTTGAGATTCTCTGAAGGATTGTTGCTGAAGGGACATTTGGTTGGCTCAGTCGGTAGACCACGCGACTCTTGATCTCAAGGTCATGATTTCTAACCCCACATCGGGCACAGAATCTACTTAAAAACAAATTGTGGCTGTATGCCAGGATGTTTAGTAGGAAGCTCCTTCCTTTATGACATCACCAGGCAGGTAGCTAAGGGGACTATTTGAGACACTCTTATAATAACAGCCACTTTTGTGGGAGTGCAAGAACAGCAGCATTTAAAACTGAGGGTAAATTTCCAGACTTCATTAAGACCCTCAATACAAGCCAGCCAGTAAAATATGGGATCTACCCATAGGAGCTCAGTATATCGGATGGTCAAGACTAATAAAACTGGGTCCAAGGTAGCAGTTTCAGCACCAAAAGGGTCTGAGGATACTAACACAACTCTTCAGCGGGTACCAGGGTACATGCTTGCCTCAAGCTCACGAAGTGCTGCAGCCCCCAAAAGCCCTTCGCCACATCGAAAATCAGAAGCTGGGCATCTCACCACTCTCTATTCAACATCAGACTATGCTCAATCTAGCTCCCCCCAGTTAGGGCCCGGCCTTGCTGGAACACCCGTCCCTCGAGGAAATGAGACTCAATCAAAGTCAGAAACATACCGTCATCACTCTCTTCATCGAAAGAGCCAGCAGAGTCAGGTAGCTTCCCATGCTGTCCAGATGCAGCGGAACGTTAGTCCATCCAAAGAGGAATCAACACGAAGAGGCGGTGAGAGCAAGCCAGGGCGTGACATGAGTAATCGCTACTCAGTAATGCCAGATGCCAAATCCTCTCGCCGGTTGAGTTTTGTAGACCAGAAGGATAACTTACAGATCTTACAAGAAGAAGACCCACCCTCCAAGGTCCAGTACCCACAAGGGGTCAGAGTTCCCCGTAGGACTTTAGTTTGCCCAAAGGATGAAGCAGTCCAAACTGAGCCCATCCGAAAGGGTTTGACTGCTACTGAGATCAGATCTTCAAGGATACCCTCTAGCCCAGAACATAGCAGTGGCCGTGTCAATGCAGACTCTCGGACAGCCCAGAGAAGGATCCCCGGCCAAGAGTTTGAAATGAATCGTCTCAGCTCAATCTTTACAGAACCCAAGACTTTGCATAGGAATATGAACATGGAATCATCCCTCAGACTCTCTGTCCTTAAGGATTTGGATGGTGGACACCGAGTTTCTATACGTCCAGATCCTGAGTCTATCCGCAAGCATTCTGTCTATGCTGACATCAAGCCCTCCCCAAAGGTCTTAATATCATCAGAAGTAGAGTCCAACCTGAGGTCCTCAACCAGAGGAGACAGTGAGGTTGGCCGCAGGGTCACCATCTCCCCAGAGGGACAGTTACTACACTCAGCATCCCGGGTGACATCTCCAGCTGTGTCTGAGAACCCCCCAAAACCAGTGTTTGTCGCTCCAGAGCACAGCTATAAGCAGCACACCCAAAGGCCTTCAGAAAGCCTCTGCATGTCCCCCAGACCCTCCCGAAAGCCCTCTGTCCAAGGAGAACTGGAACTGTCCCCTCGGCCCTTACCCCCTCGGTCCTTACCTAGGTATGGGCCTGATTCCTCATGGTGGACCTTACTCAATCCTGAAGGTGAAACACCCCAAAGCCGGCCGACAACACCTGATTTTGAGTCTAAGTCCCCTCCTCCCCCAGATCCTTTATTATCCTTTTTTGAAATGGACTCAACTCCTTTCTGTGAGGAAATGATGTTCCAGAGAGAGAAGGCAAGTCCATCACCACCACTACCAGCAGCACCACCACCACCACTAGCATTACCAAAGGAGTCTCCAAACCGGGCACCATTGAGCAAAGTGCCACAGGCCCTCAAGTGCTCCTCCAAACAAGCCAGTCAAAGGTTTAGTGCTTTCTTCTTGGGTATGTGAAGAAGCAGACTGCCCAGGTGCAGTCCCGATTTAGTGAGGTGGGACATTGGGATGGGCAGGAAAGACCCCTTCTTCAATCTGGGCCTCAGAGCTGCCCTCCCGCCAGTGCTAAAGCTAGTCCCATCCTTGAGCCCATTGCTCCATTCCTTCCCTGCCAGCTTCTCTGCGCTCCAAGCTAATGACATCGGTGACGATGCTTGGGCCAGCATCAGGCATTGACTCTTCCAGGCAACCCTGCTTAACCTTTCAATGGAAGGTAGTAGAGAGTGGTTTGCAGGGTGGGAAGTGCTTCCCAAGAATGGAGATGAAGAACTGAGCTGGGTGAGGGCTGGTAAGGACTAGTAAAGAAGATAAGGTTCTCAGGCAAAAATTCTGACAACAAAATGGAGAAAGTGGGGCATAGATATGCTAGGACCCAGACTTCAAAGAGGGGAAAGGCATTAATAGTGGCACAAAGAGGGTGGAGAAAAGGGAGGGGGGAGTTTAGTCCTAGTCTGCAGGGGCTTCTTGGAGAGAATCAAGGGCTGAGGGCACCTTTGTGGGGAGAAATGTGGAGCTAGAAAGGGAGATGTTAAGTAGTGGGGGGAGGGAGGTACATCCCACAGAGTGAAAAAAAGCAACAATCTCTGTTACTTTCAGATGTCTCTGAGGAAATGTACAATCGTGTCATCTGGTGGCTAAAAGGTCTGTGCTTTTCCCTCCTATGGATCCATTGTAGGGGTCTGGGAGGCAGGAGGACAGGTGGGAGGGTGACCTCTATGTATCTATAGAGCTAGGTCTATTAGGACCGATCATACTGGGGGTTTGACTTAAAGGAGCAGGGGAACTTCTTATCTTGTCTATAATTCCACCATTAGAGTCATTCCTTTGGGAATTGGAACCTTTTTCATTTTCAAGGGCCTCCTTTCAATGGGAAGTAGTCACTTCTGGAATGGAAAACAATTTAAGCCCATACCTTTCAGTTTAGCTGGACTTACTTCTCATGTGATTTTTTAAAAAACCAAAAAACAAGTCACTAAGACAAACTACCTGTTTCACAGTCTTCCTCAGGGCTAACCCCACACTAATGCAGGTTGATGGGTCTCCTCTTGTGTCTCTCTGGTTCTTCAGAACTCTCCTCAAGCCCCCATAGCTAGACCTGGGAGGCATTGGCTGCTACCCAGCAGGATCTCCAGGGATGTCAGGCCTCTACCTTGTGGCCATCAGTGGGTCCTATAGCCAACTCTAGAATCCTTTTTAATTTTTTTTAAGATTTTGTTTTTAAGTAATCTCTACACCCAATATGGAGCTCAAACTCACAACCCTGAGACCAAGAGTCACATGCTCTACCAACTTAGGCAGCCAGCTCTAGAATGCTTAAGAGAAGTGTCCTCAGATACCTGCCTCCCACTTTGTTCCCTTGACCTCTCTGGTGGGAGGGAAGGTGGGGACCAACCCTCATTTAGTGAATCTTAGTAGCAAGGAGTTCCTGCTTTGAATGTTGTAGCCCAAGATATGCTTTAGTCTGCGAGCATGAGGGAGGCCAGGGCTCTGGATGAGGAAGTTCCTGGGGAGGAGAGAGCCCTGGGAATGCAGTCCAGTCCCACCCAGCATAAGCTCTCTGAGTGATGGGCAGCAAAGAGCAGAGAAGGGCATCCTTCTCTGGATATAGAGCAAAGCTCTATAAGCTTTATAGAGCAAAGCTCTATAAAGTTGAGGTTTAGTAGAGCATGGACTCTGGAGTTATAGTATTGGGTTTGAGCCCTGTCTATTTTCTAACGGTGACCTTGGGTAAGTTATTTTATCGTTCCAATCATTAGTTTCCCTATTAATGAGAACAATTGCAACCTCTTAGGGTCCTTATAAGGACTGACCAAGCTACTACATGTACAGCACTCAGCATGGGGCCTGGCAACAGTGAGCCCTCAGTAAATGCTAGCTGTTGCTATTTGGGCCACTTGCACTAGGAAGGAAGCTGGGCCAGGTTATGCCCAAGTCCACTGAACATCTTTAGTAAAATTCTCTTTTTCCCCTCCTGTTGGTACTCTCTGAATTCCATTTGCTGCCCCCCTGGGAATGCCCGACTCCTACTTCTCCATTATGACAGATGAGGAGGTAAGAATACCCCTGGGAAGTTACTTCCATTCTTTCTGTGCTCCCCCTTATCCAAGTCCCTCTCTTAACCTCTCATGGAAATAGGAATGGAGGGAGACAGACAGAACTGCTCCCTATGGTTGGGCAGGTTGTTCACTGCACAAGGGCACCTAACGGGGCAAGTGGGGACTGAAATGTAGCCTGCGTTCCACTTGCCACGCTGTGCACCTGTGGGGCTGCATCTCCCCAGAGGGAGATTTGCACGAAGGCCCTATATGAGCTAGTTGAAGCCCTGGAGAGATGAGAAATCCTGCCAAGTGCTCTGTGGGAAGGCTGTCTGGGAAGCCATACATTGGATCAGTCTCCACTTGGCTCTCCTCTCTCCAGCCTAGGGCACTCCAGAAAGGGAACACTTTTCTGGGTTACACACTATTTGAGTCCTCAACTTGGAAAGGCACAAGGTAAACTCTGCTCTCGGCAGCCCTGTGTCCTGAATTTGGCAAAGAGTGTCCTGATTTCATAGTGCATTGTTCCTCTAAGTACTTTAGTTCTTCTTGGCCCATGTTTGATAAGATAGTCTGAGCTTTTCCTGCCTCCATTCTTTCTCGGCCCTATCTCTTCCTTACCCAAAGCCTAGCATGGCTTCTAATGGGCCCCATCCATGGGCTAGCCCAGGATGGACAGTTAATTACAGATGGAAAACAAACAAGGAAGGTGGGGCAGGACAGCCTGAGGTCAGATAAGGAAACAGCTGAAGGCGGGGCGGGGCAGGGGGTGCCAGAAATGTGGCTGCCACCCTCTCTGCCGTGGCTTCCTATTCAGCCCCATGCTCTGAGCTCCACTGCGGGTGGGAACAGCCACTTCTAGAGGATACCTCTAAGCAAGACTCTGAATCCATTCTCCCTCTTCCCCTCTATCCCTTCCTTCCACAAACAGCTTTATTCAGATGCCTAGCGCTCTGCTAGGCACTCCTTGTCGGGGGAAGCATTGAAGCCTCAGAGCACACACATTCTTTGGCCATGAGAAGCTTACCATCTGGTTGGGGAGATAAGACATGGACAGGAAACATTTAAACAACAATATGAAATGGTTTGCGCTCAAATGTCCAAATAAATGCAGCAGACTGAATATGTGCTCTTGCAGGATCTTAGGGGAAAGGGAGTCATCAGGGGATATGTGTGTGTGGTGTGGGGGGGTCAAGTTACACCCTTCTATCTTAGTAGCTAGCCTCTCACTCACTCCTTTGATGCACTTACATACCTTTGGGAAGGGGTTAGTGTTTTCTCTCAGTCAGGATATGATGGTTTTGACTGAGCAAGTTCCTCCCTGTTCTCCCCCACCTTCACCCCCTTTCTTGGTGCGTCTTGTTTTAGTTTAGGGAGTCAAAAGCCTTGGCAGCAGGACGGCTCTTTCCCAAAATAGCTCTTATCCTGTCTCGATAATTGCAGCTCTCCAGCCCTGTTCAACAGCAGGGCTGCTCCCCAGAAGCTGGGAAGAGAAGCTGGGGAGAGACTAGCTGGGCCTGCCAGTCTTCCCTGGCTCTTTGGAAGTGGGGTGGCATGGAGAAGGGCCAGGGACTCCTCACAAAGCGTGAGAGTGGTAGGCCTTCCCCAGTCTGTCTTCCACGCTGCATGGCCCACAGGCTATCCCACAATAGAGAATCTGTGGTGCCTGTGTCCAAGGCCTCTGGTTCTTCTGATCTGGGAATGGTTGACTGTAGAGTCTGTTCCAGATTCCTTTCCTGGCAGGAATTCTCTGGTGGCCAGCCACAGCTCCTGCCTTGAGGACAGCAGCATGTTTGTTGTTGAGCTTCACAAGCCCTTCTGGGTCCATAGGGGGACAGAGCCTGATTCTACCATTTCTCTCTTAAGTGTCAGTCTCCTCCCAAGTGGCTCCTCAAGGCCCTTTTGTCTAAGGAGCAGGGCTTACAGATGCTTCTCATCCTTGGATTGGTACATTAGGGGCTGGAATCTCCCCAGAGAAGGTTATGCTGGACTGAGGGAAGCATTCCTAATGGTTTTGTTTTTGGTATCAGAACTAGCAGAAGCTCAACAGGAAGGTCCCCTATGGGGTCAGCTGGGGCTGTCTTCTCACACAGCCCCGGGGAATTCCTTGGAATAAAGCAGCTCTTGATGGGAAGGGCTGCAACGCCCCTGATGGATGGGGCTGCCTTGGCCCCAAGATCTTGTCCTCAAGGCACCTAACCTACTTGCCCTTGAAAATGACTTTTCAGGCTGTCAGCAGACAAGGTGGTTTACTCCCTTCTATCTCTATCAATTATGCAAGAAACTAACTCTGGAAAGCAGGCCAGGAACCAGGGGAGGCCATCTCAGTGATACCTAAGGCAGACTTTGGTGTCTTTAAAGTGACATGTCATTTGGCCCCTAGGGATGGTATGGCCAGCCTTCTGTTGGCTCTTGAGGCTTGGGGAAGTTTTGCTCAGGTAGACTTCCTCAACAGAAAAATCCAGAGTCTAGGAGGAATGCAGGGATGCTCTGCGTTCATGGGGATGTTAACAGAATCCCAGGAGGTGGGCTGTCTGAAAGGAACCCTTGAACCCTCTTTCCCACTGCCCTCATTTTCTTTTGCTTTGTACAGAGGCTTGTAGCTGAGAAGAGAGGGCATTGAAAGAATGGAGCAGAGCTGCTGAAAATGGGGCAGGGCACCTCGGGGGGCTTTTCATAGCAGCCTGACCCCTGCCACCCAGCTGCTTTTCCTGTGAGATGGTGCCTTGTTCATTTCCAGCTACCATGGGCAGCGAAGTCCAGAGCTGGATGGGAGGCTGGTAACCTCTCACCCACACTTGCTATTTTGGGGGACAAGCTAGGTTGACCAACTCATCAGGGTTTGCCTGGGATGTTCCTGGTTTAGCATCTTGTGTTCTGGGACCCCTACCAGTCCTGGGCAAACTAGGACAAATGGTGACCCTAGGACAGGCCAAGGTGAGTGTATGTCAGCAGGAGCCCCCAGAAACACAGGGCAGGGGGATGACATCCTGCCTGCACTGGGAGACCTGAGCAGGTTGTCCCTCTGCTTATGAAATGGGGGCAGGAAAATCCTATGCCTCTCCCTTGGGCTTGATGGCAGAACTGAGACAAGAATCCCTTGTTTTTTTGTTCTTCTCAGAATGATCCCACATGGGGAAGAATCTGCCACATGTTATTTAGGACTCTCTGGTGTATTTCCTGAAGCCCCTTGGTTCCCTCTTGGAACCCATCTCCGACATTGTATCTTGCTGTCAGAGTAGCTTGGTGGTGTTTGAGATGGTGGGTTTTTCAAGTAAGACGAGCAATAGCAGGCCTGGGTAGATGAGGGATCTTGGCTTCAGCGGGCAGGGAGCATCCTTGGGTGAGGAAGAAAATCTGTACCACAGAAGCCACTCTGACAGCTGCTCAGCCACAGGAAGGTTATCCTGAGTGACAGAAATGGCCGTGTCCCTTTCCCCTCCTCTGCTCAGCTGCCAAGAGGGCAGAGGCAAGTGACAGCTGCACCGTGGGGGCTGAAGGAACGCCTGGGGGAGGGGCACAGAATGTGAGGCAGTTCCTAAGAGAAGCTCAGGCTCTGGCCCTGAAGGTGGGAGGGCAGCACTGGCCAGTCACTTCCTCGGCACGCCCACCACAGGCAAAGTCATTTCGCTCCGGGAGTCTCCACAATGGCTGCGCTTGGGAATTCTGCTCAGTAAGTCTGAAACCAAGACCTGCTTTCTAGAGACTGGAGCGCTGTTTAGCTGGAGGGGCTGACTCTACAGTTGGTGGCAGTGTGGGCACTCTGATGTCATTTTAGTCTCAGGCTCTTCTCTCGTCCCTCGACACCCATTACACATGCACATTCCTCATTTTTTGGAGAGAAAGCATTTGACATTATGACAGCTGACAGTTGCTGATTTGGTGTTGATAATTTTCTCGTTAGCTGAGATAATAACCACCGCTCATTTTAGTGGCTACACCATTCTAAGCGTGTTACCTTAGTGAAGCTTTACAGCAACCTCGTGAGGTGGACTTTTTCTCCCGATTTCATGGATGGAGAAACTGAGGCTCAGAGCTGGCTCCTCAAAACCGAGAACCCTGCCTTAGGAATTCACACACGGTGTAGAAACCCTTCTTCCATAGCCACATCTTCCTGGAAAGTAACTTCTCAATATTTCAGCAGTACCTTCAGATATCACAGATTATGAAGGGAAAGACTTTAGGGAGGGTAACATTTGTGTCTTTGCATGTGAACTATGAGGCTGGAAAGTGAGTATGAGCTGGTAAGCGGCCAGAATGAAGGGCAAATTCTGGGTCAGTGACGCCCAGAGCCTCAAGGCTTGTCTGTGCTCCAAAAATCAGAGTGGAAAACTGACCAATGAATCCTTTCAGTCAATTCATATTGATCAGACACCTCCTGGGGGCAGAGGCCTGGTCATCCAGGAAGACATTACATCACATGTTCACTGAATTGAAATGAGTAGAGGTTAAAATAGAAGACATATTTCCTGTCCTTGAGGGGCTGTGGTTAGTTTGGGAGAGATACGTATACAGATGGGTCACTTGAAAGGGTGTGGACATTGAAGAACAAAACAAAGTCCAGTGAAATGAGTTAGCAAAGCTTCTAGCGTAGAGGCACTTGGAGGGTGAAGTCCAGTTAGACACAAATTTTGACTCCATATGATGAAGACCTTTGGTAAATTACTGCCCAAAGAGTGAAGGGCGGTAGAGTCAGTGAGTTTTTAGCCATGGAAGGTATTCAAGAAGAAGCTGGGAGGTGAGGTGGGAGCCCTTGAAGGGGGTCACGCTCCTGTGCAGACTTAAGTCCCTTCCATCTCTCAGCTCCTGTCCCTGCCCTACTAGCAGAGACGGTGCTGGAAAGGCCCTCTGGCTGGCCTCTAGCCCTCTGCTGGCTCCAGAACTGCCCCTCACCATAGCCATACAGCAGGTGCCAGGAAACACAGTGCTCCCTGGCCTTGCCACTCACATTTCTGGCCTGCCCCAGGATCCTGGGACACTGGGGAACAGTAGGAGCAAGGCAGGGGCTTGGGTTATCTCGATTTCTCACCACAGACCTTTCTGGACAGACTGGCTAAGGTTTCCTTGAAAGACACAACCCAGTTCTAGCTCTTTGGCCCCACTAGGGCCCTCTATGTCATCAGTGACTCATCACCTCTGGGGAAAGGGAGGTACAATTAGTTCTTGTACCACTTAAGAGACACTCTGCTACCCAGAGGCAAGAGTGGCCTCTGCTAGTCATACAGATCTGAAATCCTGTGGAAATCACTATTTATTCTTGGCTTTTGAACCTGTGCCTTTAGCTTGGCCCACGTGCAGCATCCTGTTTAATTTGGTGCCCCACAACCTTCGCCCGTGGGTAGGCAGGAAAGATCCAATGGAGGGGGCCAGGAGTTTTTTCACACAGACCCCATTGGCCTGACCTAAGCAGAGGGAGCCCTGGCTAGCAGGCTGGAGGTGTGCGCTGATCTGAGTTTCTCAGGAGAGTCAGGCCTTGTGCCAAACAAAGTGTCCACTCCCCAGAGCCTTGGCCTGAATACCCCCACTCCAGCAGTGCCTGGGAAATTCTACTCTCATCAAGGATATCAATTCCTGGTGGGATATTGAATTTTAAGGAAGAGTCAGAGCTCCAGGAGCTGAGGGGCACTGAGGCAAGGTTGGCCAGGCCACGTGCTAACTGGAGGTGGGCAGGAACACTCAGTGGTCAGGGACTCATACATGGGCTGCCATATCTTGGCCCTGCTTCTGCCCAGGTGTCAGGCTCTACCTGCACCGACCCAGAGCACAAGCGCTGGAGTTGTGGGGAGTCCAGTCCTATCTTTCAATGGAGAAACAGAGGCCTAGGGAGGGGAAGAGACATTCAGGCAGTGAGATGATCACCAAAGCTGGCATGGGGTCCTAAGCCTAGGCCAAGTTCTCTCAGAAACCCAGAGTGCGGCAGGGTTAGCACTCGAGGTTTTTGCGGGTGGGATGGCTCAAAGTCTGCCTTTAGCTTTTATTTTGCCCAGCATGCTTTCTGTCAGGCATCTGATAGAGTGATTACCAAGGCACTGTGAGCATCAAGACCTTAGGAGTCTTGGCTTAGAGATGAGTTCCACAGCCCCAGGCCTCTTCTAGGGGCTCACTTCCCTCAAACAAGCTGGCACCAATGTGCCTCAGGACACACAGGGCAGCAGGTGCCAGAGCAGAGCTGGGATTCCAGCCGCAGCTGAGGATGGGCTGGCCGAGCTGCTTTCTGAGATGTGTGTGTCTGCACTTGGACCACAGCCAGGCCTGGCGGTCAGGGCAGGGGTGGGGGAGGAGGGAACTTAAAATTGTGGAAAACAAGGCTTTGTGAGGGGGCCTGTCTTCCTTGACATAGGCTTTCTCCCCTTGGCCCAGCACCCCCAGCCCAGGCCGTGCAGAATGCCAGTAGAAGCACCCAAGAGGTAGTCTTATGAGTGCAGACATGAGTACTGGTGGCCTACGGCTAGTTCCCAACAGTGGGGCTTTGTGTAGCTGGAGTCTGATGTTCGGGTCTGACGGCAGCAGCTGCTTATACTTCTGCCGTCTTCCAATAGCCATTGGTTTTTCTCTAAAGAAACTCGTTCATGCCTTTGTTTTCCTGAGTACAGCTTCAGATCTCTTGATCTAGCCCAGGCCTTTTCCAGGAACCTTTCTATACCTTCAGAGGTTCCCTCTTATCCGAGCCAAGCTGCTGGCCCCTATCCTAATTTAATCCCTTCGTTTTCTGGTGTGGGAAATGAGGTCCAGAGAGGTAAAGTGAGTTGCCCAACGTCACCCAGCTAGGAAGTTTTCTCCTTAACTTGCTAGCTTATGAATGCCCCTGATTTCTTTAAGCAATGGCACCCCCCCTTCCATCCTTCAGTCCACCAGTGCCAAATATCCAATAGCATCTCCGATAGCCACACCATGTTTTCTGAGCTGGTTCTCATCTGCATTCCTAGGCCCTTCTGCTAATTCTAACTTGATCCGAACCATGACCACTGGTCACAGATCAGACTGAAATAGGGTAGGCAGGCTCTGGCCCTTCTACCAAGAGACAGAGCCATGTTGTGCATGGGCCTCAGTTTTGTCTAAATTGTATTCAGGCCAGTCAGCTTGCCCTGGGGGAAGGCTCTTGAGAGTCAGGGAGAGGCATGCTTCTGGAAACTTCCACAGAAGCCTGACCAGCTCAGACCTGTATTAGCTCAGGAAATCCCTACCAACTCCTCACCTTCTAAGCATCTACTTCTCCTTTGCTACTCTGACCCTTCTGAGCCTCTAATGCCTCTAAAGCTGCTGGGGCATCTGTCCCCACAGCATCGCACCTGCTTGCCCAGCATAGAACTGGCTCAGGCCTGGGCTGGGCCTCTCCCCAGGCCCTCCCACTATCCTCAGCCCCGGACAAGGCTCTACTGCCCCATAAAGGCCACCAGGCCTCTTCCCTTCCACCTTTCCAGCAGATGATCCCTGGATAATTTATGCAGCAAATCCTCTTTAATCTTTAATCTAGGGTCCTACAGGAAGGGAACCTCTTGTCTCTTCTCCATAGCTTGGGTAAAGGTATAGAACGTCCGACATTCTACCTTAGGAGGTGTGGAGTGGGAAGGGACAATCCGTTAACTTGGACATAAGCTGGGTTCATTTCCTGCAAACCTTTGGTAACTAATGG